ACACATACCTGAATTATCAAAGGCATGTACTAGTTCATGTCCAACTGCACCACCAATGCTACCATAGTTACAATACCTATTAAGATTACATTCAAAAGTGTCAATATTATTTTGAAAGGTAAACTATTAAAAAAATCAATAATACTTATAATGATTAATAGAAATTAATAATAACTGTCACACATACTTTGGATATCGCTTGTCATAATATGGAGCTTGTAGTATACCAGCAGGGAATACTAACAAATAATAATTATGGCATTTATCAATAATAATTAATAATTAATCAATAATAATAAATAATAATTCATTAGGTAAATGTAACTCAGAATTAGAACTAGTCTAATTGACATGAAATGGGGGAGACCTCTGATCCCTTCAAGAGAGACAATTTGTAAAGGAGTCCTTGGAGAATGAAAAATATCTTAAATCTGGTTGTCACTTAAGCATAGTAATTAACAAGTGTCTCAACATATTGAAACCTATGTTCACAAGCACATAATTATTTCCACAAGCATAAGCATAAGTCTTTACCTACCAATCTGATTTCTTGATGGACTGTAATATGCATTGACTGTCTGTGGCGTCATCAACCACCTAACATAAAAAAAAACAGTATTACAAGCCAGAATAGCACACTTGATAAAGTAGTCCATTAGACTCACAGAGACCCTTTCTATTGCTGGATATGGAGCAATCACACAAATAATAAGTATGAGAACAATGTAGTTTATTGTGTTCTCTTGCAGTAAGCATATTATATTAACTACTTCATTAATGAAGTGATGAAGAGTATAAAATAAAATGCTTTAAGCTCATTTGAATAAGCTTCCGTAGCAGACATTCTTAGTGGTTCGAGAGAATCAAGGACGCTATATTTGAATTGAGTTATTTCATTAGGGGGGGGGGGGGGATATTTTCTCTTTTATGTCAATCCCACTTACTTGTCTTTTTCCACTGGTTTTCTCAGATTTTTCTTTTCTTTCTGGCTGGAGAATTCTTCATGTTTCAACATATTGTCAAAGTATTCATCAACTGAGAAAGTCAGCTGAAATTGAATAAAGAAAAAATGAATGAAATATCCAGGATTTTCTTCAGGGGGGTTAATGATTAATTAATTAATGATTAATATTAATCTTTATTTATATTAAACTCACTCCTTTGTATTTCTCATCTAGTTTCTTGAAATCTGTCAAATAATCAGGGAACCCAATCATTTCAACAATAGCATCAGCCTGCAAACAAGAAATATATTGGCATAAATTAGTTAAAATATTGGCATAGATTAGTTAAAATGTTGGCATAAATTAGTTAAAATGTTGGCATAAATTAGTTTAAATATTGGCATAAATTAGTTTAAATATTGGCATAAATTAGTTTAAATATTGGCATAAATTAGTCTAAAATATCTATTTTTTAAAATCTATTTTATTGGCTTTGCCTTACAAAATGAGATAAAAGAAAAAAGAAATAAAAAAATACAAAGGAAGTGAACCCCATACAGTGCAAGCCAATTTAACTGTGGACCCTTAAATAGGTAGTAAATGCTGCAATAATGCAAGAAGGGGTTGGGGTTTACTTTTAGATAGTGGAGTATCTCTTTAATATTCTTCTCAAATAATTATGAGTTTGGGAACGCAACAGCAAAATTTATATATAAGATTTATATTTTAATATTCTGTAGCTCAATTTATATACCTTATCAATAGCAGCAAAGCGTGTCTTATCATCCATCCAATCTAACAGAGGAAGTCTTCTCTTAAAAGCATCCCTGATAGCTTCTATCATGTCAGTTGCCTTTTGGAAGAACAACAAGACATCAATACCAATCAGTTTGATAATACTTTTGTAATAGTGACAATCAAATACGAAGTTATGCAGCTTGTTACATCTACAGCAAATTCTGCTGCAATAGTTCCTGATTATTACTGATGAAGTAACTGCTACTGCTTCATACTATACAAACTAGTTAAAAATGATAATAAATAGAAAGAGAACATAGTTTAAAAACTATGTCCAAAAGAATATATTCTCATAGTACTGCTTCTGATCAATAATAATTTATAATTTATAATTATTATAATAATATACAGATAGTACAGTGCGGCTACTGAAACCGGGGCCACCTAGAGAATATAAAATCCCACAATTTAGGCTGAAAACAAACGATTCAGACTAAGGAAACCTGATCTCATTAAGCTTTAGTCCTTTGCAATATCACTGATCATCGTTTTTTACCCTTTTTTAGCCTTGTTTCAATTGAAATTGGGATTATTTTACATTCTCTAGGTGGCCCCGGTTTCAGTAGCCGCACTGTAAGATTTATATTYTCATAACCTGTTTCTTGCTAGAACCTTGAAACTTTTCCTTAACAAATAGATTACCAAGTGCCATGCCAACACTCCCATCAGTTACTGAAATACATGTCTTCCAGCGATCTTCCACAGTTGTTGTACCTTCCAAAATCTTGTTCAGCTGGTGTTGAGCTTCTCGGAATTCAGCAGAGAGCATTGGTACCTTGCTATGAACAACTTGCCATACCATGTAGTTGTTTAAAACTCTGATATAATTATAAACAAGTACCTATTTATGATTTCCAATATTAATATTAAGTAATTTATGGGCCAGTGACGAAACAAAAAATTACATTTGACTGGCTGCATTTGTGAACAAATAATGCAATAATTATGGACTCAAAGTAAGTAGCTTTACAGTAGTCATTGTTATGATTGTGTTTATGATTATGATTATGATCTCAAGATGCATGAGTTATGATGAGTGATGAGTTGCAAAAACACTTTGAGGAGGCTTGAACAAATAAAATCCCAATTGAAACAAATTACTGAAAATAACTCCCTTCACAGCAAACACTTTCTATTCTGGGTCASCTTTCAAAAARGCAGTTATCTTCATAAAACCATAAACTTAGTGTCATTGTCTATAAAGGGGATAAAAGAGCTGAATATTATATTTGTGAGTTTTCTTACTTGTTGTTTGCCCCATTTATGACTGATTCAAGCTTTGACAGATATTCTGTTGCAAAAACAACGATATCATCTGTCTCTTTGATGSTGGCTATATCACTGAATGCAGCAGAGAAGAAGTCTAACCAGGGTATCTATGAAAAGATRTGAAAAAMAAACAGCTTTGTGAAACAATCAGATTTGGAATCTATAGGTAGTAAAAATGTTTTTTGAAAGTTTATGTGTTTAATTTTTCTCTTATGTCAAGATATTTCAGCTTATTTGCCATCGCAGCTATTAAATTAAAAGGCAGAGCCTAGTTTGAATCATAAAGCAATTGTTCTCACCTTTGGGCTGATTTKAATGAGGTCTTTGATTTTCATTTTTTTGTAAACCTGGTCAATTTGACTACGATTGTTGGGAGGAGCAAAAATCTGCAAAAAAATAAATAAATAAAAAATAAACAATAACCATTATATATACCCATTTATTCATCCATTCATCCATTTTTTCATTCATTCTTTTGTCCATCCATTCATTTCTTCTCTCATTCATCATTTTTCCCTCCCTCCATCCATCCCTCCATCTATCCTTTCATTTGTTTATTTATTCACTGTATAAAAGTACCATTCTAAAATTACCTTTGCAAGTTCCTTTTCAAAATTCAAAACATCCATCATCTGTTGTTCAACATGGTTCTTCTCTCCTCCGAGTAAAACACCCACCGTTGTCATGTAATCGTGATAAGCCTTTAAGTTCTGGAAAGCATTAAATAAAAAGTATGATAAATGTCTCAAGTTCTTACCCAAATTCCATCATTAAATTCTCCTACTTTGTAGGGGGATTAATTTTAATATTTTACTACYGTTGGAAGTCTATTTCTAGTTAATGCATTCTTACCTTTTCTGTTTCATTGCCGAGGTAATAGCTTCTCTCAATGCCCAGTCCAGCTTGATCTACCTACAAGTAAATGGGAATTTAAAAAAATAAATGAACAATTGAATGAATAAGCAATAGATTAAATTAAAACAAATATCTAGTTGTCTCTAGCTTAGTTTTTTATTCAGACGTTTCGATCTGCTCTCAGATCTTCTTCAGTGCAAAAAAAATCAATTCCGTTAAAATTCATTTTTTTGCACTGGAGAAGATCTGAGAACAGATCGTAAGCTAGAGACAACTAGATATTTGTTTTAATCATGAATCCTAGCTGCAACAATCATATTTTTAGTAGATTAAACTATTGCATGATTTTATATTTCTGGAGGATAATTCAGTACCTAACTGGCGATCCTTTGTCATTCTTTTCAAAATAAAATAAATTGTGCATGCATTTAAATGTATGTTCAAACTTTACCCTAGATCASAAATATTTGATAATATTTCAACTAYTAAATCAGTCAATTTATGAACATAATAACCTTATACTAGAGAAATTTCATGTTAATTGTTTCTCATATTACGTTTATATCTTTAAATCTGTCTAAACTGCTTTTATAAATTCCATTAAAATTGTACACTTATCGAATGACAACKTCCATCATTACTTTGATAGAAATGGATGAGCTGTGTAAAATGGATTGCATTTGCATATTTTAGAGAGAGAAAGAGAGTTTCGCAAATATGTTTTGCTATGTATTTCTTGAATGCAATGGAAATGGGACTAATTAAAATAAAATAATTCACATTTTCTTCCCATTACGAAAATAAACAAATGTTTTCACATCTAAGAGAAAATTACCTTAATAATATTTTTSGAAGAATTCTTGTCATCTGCGTTGACAAAATAGCTAAAAAACGCAGAATTATGATAGTTGTTTTGAACTTTCTTCAACATTYCCAGGAGAGAAAACCCATYTTCGCTCCAGTTTCCAGAAATACTCCAACCACCGATGTCTTTGAGAATTTTTTGAAGTGGGGCATCTTTCAGYGCATCTAATTTKTCCAAATCCATGCACGAATCATAAAATGTTTTCGCTAAATGAATGGACGAACTTTTCGATTGAGAAAGTTCTTTGTCGTTGAGTAGTCGCTTCATGGTCTGCATGTTTTGGTCCCAGAGAAATGAAAAGGTACCCCAAAATGCTTCACTGTCAGGAATTGGGTTGTTTTTTACCCAGCCACCACAGGAATATTGAAAGAAGTCGTCGCAAGGATCGGCAGTGTGGTTAATAGCATGGTACATGTAATGTGCAGCGTCCAAGCAGCCATCAGTCARGCAAGCGTCTTGCGCGACTTTCAACTCTTGTTCCGTTTTTATGTAGCGCTTTTTTGACGCAGATAACAATGCTCCAAGCACAATGCAAGCGACTATTAGGATAGAAACAAGCACTATCAACCAGAAGACTGKTTTYTTGACAAGAACAGGCAGGGAATAGCGGTTTGATGGCTTGACAACCGTGATTATATGTCCTTCAAGRCTATCTGTGTCCGCCATTCCTTCTTCCCGACTCCCGCCAAGACCAACGAGTGAATCTTCTTCATCATATCTCARCAACGGTACATGGGTCGTYGTTTCTGAGCCTATTTCGTTTGACATGTTGACTTTGCAATGGTCTAATAATATACGATTTCAAGTTTGTTTGAGATTTTGTCTGACTATTCGCTTCAAATGCAGCACGTCATTCGGTRGTGTATCCTTCAAGATCTCGCCCTGTCGAATCGAGTATTCCCAAGAACATAAACGCTCCCTAACAGTAGAAAAGCTGTTTATAACTGAAGAGCTGTCTGGCGTAAATTGTAAGCAAATTTCAAAGGGTTTCAGAAAGCTTCTGCCATTCAAAACCAGCAAGCATTYGTGTTGTGTTTGACCCTTTCAGTGGGTGATGAATTCTTGACCATCTGCATAAAACAACCRTCAAAGCTTGTCCAAGCTTTTCGGTCATTCAGCCATATTCAACCAAATATAAACACTCCTTTTTTACTTCCTTCTGACAGACGAAAATCTCAGGAAAATCTCACAGTTTTGAATACATTTCTTAATTCCTAAGTGAATGGTGACGTCAAACCGTAACATATAACATAGTGACGTCATTACTTCACGGATATTAGTAAAATTTSAGCTACGATGTTCACGGAATACGAACATGCTTCAGGTTAAGGTGGGAATATAAAAAATTACATGTTCTTCAACTTTGAATATCGGTGGGACTATAGATAATGGCTAAATAAGTGATTATCTTGATATATATAACAAAACATTCTAAGCCATTAACTTGTTAGGTAAAGACAGCGATGAGACAGGTCAAGACAATCATATGATAATGATTTAATTATAATATTATACCGGCCGTTAACCTAATTCATAATCACCGAAAGACTAAAATCGGCCGTTAAGTGAACGGCTTAAAATGTTTTGTTATGTATATGTTAAGACTAAAATCGGCTTAAAAWGTTTTGTTATGTATGACTGAAATCGGCCGTTAAAGTTCCCCTCTTTCTGACTTATATTTTGCTTATATATATTTTCTTTAAAGGAAAATCTGAAGTTCTGAAGAAGCCTAAAATTTCTCACTCACTTCTATCTCTTTCTTCCTTTCTTTTTTTTTTTATAGTTTTCCAATTTTCTTTCCTCTGAAATTGGGCTTCCTTTGGTAGTCATGTGACTACAAATTACACTTGAGAGCCTGTCAACAACTAACATGGCGTAACCAGTAGATGAACTTTCACTGCTGTTTTCACCCCAAAAGAAAATGGAGTTAAGCAAAATAGCAACAAATATGATACGCTCCGTCTCCTCTGGACAGGTTTGTCAAGAATGCAACTCATTCACAGAGYTTATACTATTTTTCAAACGTTTCTCTCCATTCAATAGACGGTCGAAGTCCAAAGTCTTTGGAGCAAGCAAACTGCAGTCATAGCATTTCTTCGTCGTTTTGGATGACAGTTGTGCAGGCTGTGGGCTGTGGAGTTAAGCTCCATTAAACCACAGCTAGATGCACATAATGTTGCTTTGATTGGAGTTGGTTTAGAAGAACTTGGTCTCGAAGAATTTCAGGAGGGCAAGTTTTTCACTGGAGGTGAGCAACCCCTGTTTCACTGTGTATCGTCACGCAACGTGCAGAATGAGACTGCAAAAGGAGGCCATTGTAAACCCCAGCGCGATACTGTGGTCATGTAGAAGTATTTTTAGCATTTCGAAGGAAATTCAATGGAATGGAGGGTGGTTTTATTAGATTTGTGAATGTAAACCTTTAGTTTTAAAAGAGGGTATAACATTTCCCCCACCCTACCTCCATTAACACCCCAGGTAGCCCAACATGTCGATAATAATGCGATAACATCTTAAAGCTAGAAATATTTAAATATCTTTTTACTTTATTCCTAGAGCTCTTTATTGATGGGGAGAAGAAATGCTATAAAGATCTTGGTTTTAAAAGGTGATTTTTGTATAAAAAAAAACTTAAGAAAAGAAAGATAACCTATAGCATGGCCTATATATTGGTTTTTGCTATTGTAGGTTTGAGTGTTTTTTAGTGCAGTGATGCAATGTTTTAAAATAGGTAACATTTGCAGTCTAATATTCTTGAAAGAATGTATGAAAAGACATTTCTCAATGATTGTATTTTATGCATCAGGTATGGTACGCTTTCTGTAATGGCCAGTCTTCTCACCAAGGAATTCAGATCAGCATATGCCAAGGTGAGTATAGTATAAGTTCAGGGGCGGCAGAGCGAAAATTGACTTGGGGGAGGGGAGGGGGGCACAGTCATAGACTTATAGTGATGGTCGACATCACATCAACTTTTCCAAATTGGCAAATTTGAAATATACACTTACGTTTTATAAACAAAATTGATGCTGTTATGTGGGGGGGGGGGGGGGGGGGGGGGGAGCTGGAAGGCCCCCCAAAATATTTTATGGGAAGGCCTGTGCCCCCTGGCTGCACCATCCCTGTAGTTAATCTATGCATCAACTTCATCAACTATCCATTCATAATGTTTGTCGTAAAAAATCTTCTCAAAATGTTTGTTTAACTGTGCAGTGTTATTGATGCTAAGTCCTCAATACACAATAGGCACAGTCAAAGGGACAATATGGATTTAACAATGGACTGCCATTAGTTTAAGCCAATCAATGATAGCAACCAAAGCTCTTAGGTTGATTGACAGCTTTTCATTGTATATTGCAACATTTGTTTGTATTTTCTCATGTCAATGCAAATGRCGGGAAATTTATGCTGATATATTTTTCTTAAGAGCAATGCGAAAGGAATTAAAGGGAATATGAAAGGGGATGGTCTACARACTGGCGGCATGTTGATTGTGACATCAGAATCTAAAGTATTACTAAGCCAYGCCCAAAGYGCACCTGGTGACCATGTTTCTAATGAAGCAATATTGAAAGCACTTGGGATTGATGCRGAGCCAAGTCAAGAAACCAGCAAAGAAGAAGGTGCTGCTAGTGCAAAACCAAAAATGGAATGCAATGAAGATGTCTGTTCACTTCCTCCAAAAGAAAAGTAATTCYGCAGGTRATTATTATACAAAATTTGAARCCATYTCTGCATGTACTTTCATGTGGGAAAAAAACAGAAAAGGAAAGAAAGGGGATATACTTGCATTTGACAATGCATTTACTCATTCTTTCACATAGATTTTCTGTGAATTTATTTTTCATTGTTTGGTAACTAATGAGAATGATCRCCAGTTCTTTAACTGTTTTATTGGAGATTGTATTGTTGGTCATTTCAACAAATTAATATTACTTTTGTCATAGGATACATTAACACCTGCAAAGTACCATTGGAGCAATGGATCAATATCATTATCATATGGAAACAAGACCATAGTTTGGAGCAATTCAATGTGTAACAAGTGTTTATGATGCCAGTTTTACCAAACCTGTTTGAACAGAATTAAACTGGTTGATGAAAACAGGATTTACTTGTTTGAAACTTGTTAGGGAATAACAAAGAACTATAATGTCAATTGAATGGGATTGTTTGTAAACATTTTTTACGTCTAATTAAACAATTATTGAATTATGTTGTTGTAATATTTTATATATGATTGGAAATATCCCCTGTTAATCCATGAATTATAAGGCATTCATTGTTGAAAAAATATAGGATGTTATTTTCGGAGTGATGGGAAATCCAACAAACCATATTGAAATCTACTTCTTTTCACATTTCATGATTTCATTCCCAATTAATAATTTCTAAGAAATTCTTTGATACAAAAATAAAATTGAAACCTTTCCCTCCCCCAATTTTTTTTTTTTTTTACTTATATATCCTTAGAACTCATGTGAACATTTGAATTTGGCAATGATCTTACAAATGAAACTAGCCATGCCTAAGCATTCTTTTCTTTCGTAATATAAATACGGATAATATTTAGCTGTTTTTCGTTAACACGTTCAAAATATCCAAATATGGAATTCCGGAAGTGAAATTGGTAAGGCTAGAGTCTAGCCAAGTAACGCAATAATGTGTCAGTCATACCATTGTTCTTTTGTCCAATTATATTACACGTGTGAATATTCTTAAAATACAGGATCATCACAACGTGTGAGCTACAACTGGAGGGAGTGTACCACGAAATATTATAGACATTATAGAAAATTACCCTTAAAATCAACACAAAATGTCAGAAACAAATGAACTTGCTGCCAAGCTTGCACATAGAAACAAGCTGAATGACGATGAGAGCGCTCCACGAAGGCAAATTGCAGTGTTCAATCCCTACATTGAATTCAAGGAGTTCTCGCGAAAACAGATCAAGAATTTCGAGGGAATTTTCAAAAAGTAAGACTGCTAGAAATAGCTTGGCCTAAACAAGTCATTTAGGTTATGTTTAACTGGATTTATGTACTATTATTAAGGATTTAGTTGAATTTAGTTGATAGTATTCTAGATGTTCGGGACAATAACAAGTGTGAAATCAAGACTGCAATCGACATATTCATGTGACCAYCTCCAATTCTTGTCCATTGCGACATTTTCTGAAATCTAACACTACATTTTTCAAGATATCTCAGGTGTCCAACACTTTTTCTTTCACAATTTAAGAGTTCCGTAYTCCCTTTATGTTTATTGGCATTTTCGCTCATTTTAACCAGCTTTTCAAATAGACATGACGGAAAGGAMAGTGGTTAGACACAGCTGTGTAGGTATTTACTTCATGATCACAGCACTCCACGTTTCAAAGTGATTTCGACTGCATTTGTTTGGCGAATGACATTATTATCAGTACAAAGATCTTACCACAATACGATGCTATMGGTCTAAAAATCCATTTTCCTCATCACCACAAAAACAATGCACAGATGAATTCGCAATTACAAACCAATATACACGTAATCGTCGTATAAATATGATGAAATCAAAATTTCTTCAAAATAAATTAAATTCAAGGACCTCCTTTTCATTTTTAACTTGTAAAAGCTGTTTATCGCACTGTGTTTTGGGTTTGTAGTCAGTCACATTAAAATAATAACTGTATTTGTTTGCTTTCCAACACCCGGAAATAAATACCTTCACAAATTATTATATTATATTTGTATACATACGTGTTTCTTGGAAGTTTTCGTACGCTCTTTCAGTTTTCAAGATATTTTAATTGTTTTATATCACTTTTACCTAAAAAGTATCACACGCTTAGAATATTATTTTATCAATCTTTCTGRAGCATAGTATTATAGAAATAATCATCATTGTTAATAATTTTTATTAACCAAGCACTGGTGGAAATCAGCTAAAGACTTGAGTTTACATACGAAAGTAMAAAAACCTTGCTGCTACACAGTGCATGACCAAGGTGTTCCTGCATCTGATGTCCTTCATTATACTGAAAAATGTCTCTAACAACAGAAATTTCATGGCTGCTGGTTATGCATTTGACCCAACAATGTTTATAACTTGTAACCGAAAGAAAATTAAGGATGTACCTGTGTTGTGTGACAGTGACTTGACTCATTATAGAGCTGATTTCATATGATTTTGTATGAGCACAAGATGTCGTACACRTAAACACAAGCAGAACAGTGTGTGACATTCGATGTGAATATGTCATAAAAATTTACCCAWAATTTTTCACAATTATTGATTAATTTTCATTATCTGCATTTCCCATTAAGGTATGACGTGGATAGAAATCACTTTCTTGATCTCATGGAGATGAAATTAATGATGGAAAAACTTGGAGCTCCTCAAACACACGTTGGTCTCAAGCAAATGATCCATGAGGTTGATGAGGATAATGATGGGCAAGTTAGCTTTAGAGAGGTTTGTGTTCAGATACKTTTTGCCAAAGTGCTTTACAGTCTTTTGAATTTATGTTAGGGGGGACCGGGGGATAGTTAGGAGTGCGATTTTGTTGGAAGAGTGGGGTAAATTTAATGTGATGAGAGAATGAGATGGGGTGGGTTGAAGGAAGACAGCAAACAGTGCATTCTCCTTTGCAGTAGGCTTGACTCTTTTTGTTTGGCTTCCTGTCCCATCAAAACAAAAATGAAGGAACATGAAGGCCAAAAAGTCTGCGAAGGAAACTAAGAAAAGTGGAATTGATGATAATCATTGTAATGATATTGATAGTAGTATTCATTGTTCTTTGTCTTTTGTTTTCCTAGTTTCTTCTGATCTTCAGAAAAGCCAATGCTGGAGAACTTGAAGCCGGCTCAGGTCTAGCAGAACTTGCACGACTTACAGAGGTCGATGTAGATGAAGTTGGTGTAGGAGGAGCYGCAAAATTCTTTGAAGCAAAAGCTAAACAAGCGCAAGCRTCATCTCTCTATGAAATGGAAATCCGTGAAGAGCAAGAACAGAGGAAGAGAGAGGCTGAAGAAGCCAAGAAGAGAAAAGAACTGTTTAAAGCTAAACAAGCTGCTTTTGGTGTCAGYTAATTTTATGTGAATAGCTTGTTCAATAATACTTTTAGTTGGGCATTTTATCTTTTTATACTTCAGTAATAATTTTATATTTTATCTCTGAAAAGTTGYGTCTTCAATTTTATATTCTTTTTTTTACAATCCATTTTACAGATGCCTTAAGTTTGTAGCTATTTTGCTACATATATTTGACGTTAAGAATGTTGAAGACAGTTTAGTTTTTAAGAAGTTTCAAGCAATAATGATATTATCCTTCCAGATTTCCCATAGATTGTATTTTCAGATAATTTCATTTAGAAATTACAGGGACAATATCTAATATTTCAAAAGCAAAGTAAAATCAGCTTTTTTAAACAAAGTTTTTTATTGTTTTGGTGTTTTGAATCATATCTATGTGTCAAACATGTTTTAACTGAAATGGTATTGGTCGGATTTGAGACAACAAAACGACCACGACCGTTTGCATGCGCAAACATTTGTCCGACCACACGTATTCGGATGTTCAAGTGTATCCGGATAGCATTGAATATGTACACACGGAGTCCGGTAAATCCGCAAAAAAAAAGTCTCGTTCAATGAAAACAAAGCTAATTTTCATTACGTGAATGTTGGTAGACGTGCTTCTAAAGGCGCGAAGTTCACTTTGGACTGAAATGTCTTACAAGCCGCTGTCTTCAGCAAAATAAACTGATATCCAATGGTTTTGCTTAGCTTTTTATGTAGTTCGTATTGCAGTGTTTATAATTAGCAATTTGCAAGATAAGAAAAGGTCATAACGCAGTGCGTTGTACAGTCGGAAGGAGCAYAGGTGAGCCCCTGAAGGACCATGTAAAAGTCAGGCATACGACGTTCATCAATTTAAGTCTTCTTCATGGACTATGTTTTTTTACGTTATAGGACTAGCAAACTTAATCATTTCCAAATGTTTTGAAGCTTATGCATATGGTAAAGTTCCAGATGGCCAGTCCTGAATCCTGGTCTTAATCCTGCTGCCAGTAAGTCTGGTTCATTACCATTTTGGTCAACTGTTGGTGGTTGTTGTTTCTCAAGAAGATCCCTTTTAGCAAAGGTTATTGCTTACACAATTACGGGACACTGATTAGTTAAGCTAACTGTCCAGATTGCAGTTTGATCTTTTTATTTTCAAAGACTTCAAACGCAACATGGCAAAGCCTCGATCATCTCGACCCCCCTCAGTGCATCTWGTCGGTACGTCACCGCAWATKTACGGCTATCGAAGTCCGCAAGGCCTACATTACTTATAATTTAGAGCTATTGTTTTTAAACTGATGACTGTCTTTCCTGCGTCTTTTCTGAGAAGCTTCTTTTAMAGGACTAGTACTTTTCGATTCTCTTTTATCTAAAACGTCCAAAGCCTTTCCCCAACTTACAGAGCAWATATCTGGCTTTTCCAGCCACATCGCCGCCATCTCTGAATGATGTTTATTGTCTTTGGAAATTTTTGGTAGCTTTGTTCTAGAGTTCTCGCTGYTCTTTCTAGTTTCTCCGCTCGARCTTCTGTCATCTGATGTGAGAGGAGGGAGGTAAAATCCATTTTTKGAAGTATTTTTGCGTGGACTATCAGGAACACTGATGTCTGGAAGTTTCAGGACCTGCTGAATAGCGTCAGCTTCTGGGTTATACATGAAATGCCCTGGAACRTCATCAGTTGATTGTTCATGAAGTTCTTTCTTAAGATTTCGCTCAACTTCTGGTGAAACTCTCCCAAGACGTCTCTCTCTCTTTGCCTTTCTTTTGCGTGAACGTGTTGGAGTTCTCATGATAATGATGAGCAAATTTGTTATGTCATGRTAATGACATCACAGCAACTTTTCTGTTGATCTTATTGTAGCTCGGTACTTGACGCGCGCTTTGAACGCCAAAACGGCGTCACCTTCGTAATTTATGCTCAATACAGTTGCTGTATTTCTTCYTCCTCAAATTTTGCAGCCTTTGTCATGCCAGGAAAATGTTACAGTTTGTTGATGAGTTATCCAAGCAACGACCTTGTTTATCTTGTACATTAACACTGGATACGCAGACTGGTTTTTCACTGCGCTTGGAAACGCATGTTTGTTCTGATGATTAAAAAACTCTCTCAACTTGTCTCAAGGGAATAGACAAGCCACATTATACACCAACAAACACTCATAACCTTAATTCCTAACACAATGATATAAGATGAAGGTATTAAAGAAGCCAAAATTAATTGGRAACCAAAAAGCTTTTATTAAGAACAGTCAAAACGAGAAAGTGTTATAGATCACCCAGCTCCACGAGCTCCATGCTCAATTGTTGGACATCGAACATTGCGTTGGATAATGTAAAACAATGTTTGGTAGCCAAACAACTGTCCATGTTTTCAACACCATCGCACACAAAGCAAGAAAACACTGAGAAAACAAAAGAAAAATTGAAGTGGGTTTTTGACAACATGAAATAAAACTTGACAGGCTGAAAAACTCCATCTAATTTGCTCTTTTTTTGTCAACACCACCATAATGTAAAAGTATAAAGAGGTAGGGCGGTGATCTTTTTGCTAGAAAGTAGATTTGACAGCGAAAATGGTCTGAGATTTTGAATAGTTTCATTAGTTATCCAAGAGGCGAATTGAAAATCATAAGTGAATTTAGTATGTTTTCGGCTCTTGATGGAAAAAAACTCTTCCTTAAATCGTGTATATTATACCTTCTATTTAAGTATAAAAGTTTGGCAAATATTCAAAGATTATCATTTTGTGCAATTAGCGCACGATTTTTTGAGAACTGGCCATGTAGCCTAACTTGCAGCAAAATTATCATGAGAAATTATGTTTCTACATTTTTTTCAATGCAGATGRAATATAGCTGACTTAAACCTACAGATTCTTCTTAAAACGTCAATTAAGCTTTGCACATGGTTTAACAATAAAAKTTTGTTTATTTTTTGACGTCAAATTGTGATCCAGTCCTAATATTCCTCACGGCCAATAACAGTCGAAGCCGGCAAAGTGATAGCCTGGGCCGAACAAGAACTCGATCCTTTTTCCGAAGAGCGTCGAGTGGGTGATACACGTGTTGTGGAAGAACACAGAAAAACGTAAAAAACACGACAAAAGACGTTCTAACATGGCTAAATCAAAGTCCGCCAAGAAGGTAATGTATTATTCAACTGAATTTAGCAGATATATTGGGTTCAAGAGGGTAGAATTTTACGATAAACTTGTTTTCATGTGGCCACACGAGGGAGCATGGTCGATGTAAACGACRTACATCGAGACAACTATGYAGTCATTTAATCGCCTTTTGGTAGTTTCTAGAGATATTAGAGAGACTAATTATAAGGTATTTCGCTAGAAATTGATATTGAGTTGGCAATAATGGTTATTATTTCAAGAAAAAATTACTTAAAGCGGCAGTGAAGTTAGTCCTTGGACCCACACTGCTCATTTTTCRGAGCACGTGTTTGTGAATAAACTTGTGTTTTGAGAACTTTCGCTCRTACAGATCGCTGAATGTGTAGGTACAAAAAGTAACCATACCAAATGATAACTATCTTCTTTGAATATTTTGAAAGCTCAGCGAAATTTTGCCCTTTTCTGACGGTTTTAAAGAATTTGCTCCTGAGAAGCTCGAGTGTCGAAGAATGTTTTGTTTTACCTTTGATTGTGCAATACGTCGAGTGCGATGAGAAAGTGTTTCAACTTTTTCTACGTAGTTCAAGCCATCTTTGGAGCAATATAAGAGATAAGAAATAATTATTGATATATCGAAATGAATAATTTTTTTTCAAATTTTAGTGTTTGGTCGGTGAACTTATTGCTAAATTAAAGTCAAAGTTATCATTAATCATAATTTAATATTATTCCTTGTAATATTATTGTRATTTCTTAATATATTTAACTTTAGGCTCAACCGGATGAGACAATCAAAACGAAAAAAGTGAAGGAAAGTGTTGATGAAAATAAAAATGTAACAAATGGGACAAAGAAAAGCAAAAAGAAGTTGAAGAATGGAACAGCGAAAGCCCCTGCACCCCCTGTTAAGAAACCAGCTCGATCAGTAAGTTTGCCTATCAATTCATTTATTTTGTTTATGATTTATTTCATTACTTATCTTTTATATTTATTCCAGGATTCAAGCTCAGAGGATTCAGATGATGAAATGGATACAAGGTAAATATTTCTTTATTTTGATCATAAAGTATATAATGGTTGATGTTATTRTTGTGCTTATTATCAATATGCTTATTTTGATTTCATTACACTTCAGTCCTCCAGTTGCCAAAAAAGATAAGACAAAACCTAAGAAAACTCCAAGAAAAGAATCCAGCTCCTCAGAGTCAGACTCAGAAGATGAAACTCCACCTAAGACAAAACCAAAAGCAGACGTCCTCAAACTAAAAGGTATCAARAAGCCAGCTGATTCRGAYTCTTCTTCTGACAGTGATAGTGAAGATGAAAAGCCTGCTTCAAAGAAAGCAGTCAAGAATGGTCCAGCACCAAAGGCTCAACCTGCAAAAAAAGAATCTAGTGATGATTCAGATGACAGCTCAGAAGATGAGAAGCCTGCCGCAAAAGCAGCACCCAAGAAAGCAGAAACTGCAAAGCCAGCAAAAAAAGATGAGTCTAGTGACGACTCTGATGACAGTTCTGAAGATGAAAAGCCTGCCCAGAAGGCAGCACCTAAGAAAGCTGAGGCTAAGAAGCCAGCAAAAAAAGACGAGTCTAGTGACGACTCAGATGACAGTTCTGAAGATGAAAAGCCTGCC